TGCCACCCACGAAAACGACAAACACAGTTTGCTTTGCATTGCCTCCTGAAAGGAGTGCACGAGCCTTCACCGCCTTGTCTTCACCAGTTTGAAGCTCGTAGAATGTCTGCCCGCGGACATGCTTGACCGCTTCATCAAAGCCATGCCAGCCCTGACTTGTGGCCGCCGCCGCCGCGACCCCAGCGTTTGCAGCACTGCCGCCCTTCGCGAACGACAACAAATATTGCTTTTGCAGAACGCACTGAACTAGACGGATAGATAGAGGGGCGTACCCGCTGTATACGTAGGCAATATCGTTGGGGTCATCTTCTTGAACCTCATCGACAATGAGCCGCAGCTGCCTTCGTAAATAGGTGTAGTTCGTTTTGGTACCCGCTGCCCCTGCATTACCGGTCATAGGGATCACTCCAGCAAGGGGAGAGGATCGAGAAAGGAAGAGGTGTAACTTTTCCAAGTTGTGAAGCGTCAGGAGATGTTGATATCCGTACCCGTGCAAGACAAGCTTTCGAAACTGGTCATACTCCCTTGGCTTGATGCCCCCAGAAATACAGGAGTAAATGCACAATAGCCTGAGAGTCTCACGAATAGGCGCATCCCGCGCTATGAGCTCCTCGATGCCATCGAATTGAGAAGAGGGATCTGCACCAGCAGCAAGATTCTGCTGCACTTCTAGTAAGCCCCTGAACTCGTCGGTTCTGGTACGCTTGATTATTTCCTCAGCGATACCTGTATGGATCCGAACACTTCGATGCTCTTGCTGATACCCAGGCAATTGAGCAACAAACTCCTTTAGTTCGGCCAATGTTTTTGTCTTATGCTTGGTCTCATAGTCAGACTGGACCTGCTGTAGCCGCCGGGCAACCTTGTTGAGCATCCCGCCAACGATGGCGAAGTTGGCATCTCGTAATTGATCGTATAGCTTGTCGCTAGAGTCTAGGGGAATCGTCTCCTTCCGCCCTTGCGTAGTGGCAGCAGATGACCGAGCTGGAGCCCCAACAATGGTTGTGTCCACCTTGGTTTGGTTATTCTGAATTTCGAATACTTCGTCTATCAGACCCTCGTAGGTCAGCTGCGTGAGAAGAGGGGTAACAAAGTCTACCTCACGGTCAATTATGATGACGCTCTCGTTTGTCGAACTCGGCGTTAAGCCGGGCTTGTTCGAGTCGCTCGTATCTTCGCCCGCGAGGAGTTCCTGGCGCATGCGAACTAGAAGGTCAGATATCTTCTTTGCGTTATCGCCTTTTCCAATCATTCGAGGAAATAAGCCGTGATTCTTCTGGACTTCCATCAAGGCCTTTGCCAAGAGGTAGTTGGGTGTGACATCTTTGGAGAGGTACAGGTCTTTGAAGGAATCATCTAGTTCTAGGGATAAAACGTCTCTCTCCAGCGGAAAGAAGAATAACGGGAGTTCTGAAATGCTCGCGTCGCCCAATACGCCTGCTTCTTCTAGAAGTTGGTCCGACACCAAGGTGCGACGAGGGACCCAAAAGATGTGAAATTCATGGCTTGTAGAGCTCTGGCGTCGGACTCGTTTTATTTGGTCTGGAGAGAATCGCGTGTGGGTTAATCAAAGAAAGGCCTATGCAGCGGTATGGGATATGCGGTCAAGGGATGATAGGCGTACTGGCTATGTTCTCGGCGTGACGTCCGCACTCTCCTCGAGCAATGAATACTACATTATGCTGGCTGGCATCGACATTATCATTTTCCAAGACGAAGAACTTGTCGACTCCATACTCCTGGAGCGTATTGACTTTAACAATCGTTCCAACGGGACCGACTAAGCTCTTGTCAAAGACGAGATTCTTCTTGCCGCGGACCTACAAAGATGAGCGTGTGTTGAACCCACTGAAAGCTCCGAGAGCTCGCAGGAGCTGGAGAAGGCTATGACTTACGCCCTCGAGTAAATAGAGCAAGTCTTTGCGGGCCTTGGTTCGAACTTGCTCCGTACTGAACTCGGTACGAGGAGCCATGGCGGCTCACGCGATAATTCGAGGAAGCTCGGCAGCACTTGTCATGAACTATGATCCAAGTGGAGGCATCGGTGACGGAAAAGGCTCGAGAGCTAGCGAATTCTGCCTATGACCCCCTCGCAGATCCCCTCGCTGAGGCAAGGCGGTGAAGGCGATGGACGGCGGAGCCAGGCACCCCACGTCAAGCCAGCTTCGCATCAAAGGGCTCCCAGCTGGGGGACTTCAAGTCGACGTCATGCCAAGTATAATAAGGGCCTCTCAACCAAGAAACACTAAAACAACTCAATAGACGTGGAGGAATGGTGAATATTTTCTCTTATTTATAGTTTATTTATATATCAGCTTGAATGCATCAACCTGTTTGTGTAATGGTTGCTGATTCTATGAATGCTGGCTGGCCGTAAACCCCTTGTGGCCTCAATGGTCCGGGGAGCAAACACAGTCATGTCGCACCAAATCAACCCAGTGACCTAGTGCTGTGCAAGATCCCGATGCCTCATGGGGCACATGTAACAGGAAGCACTGTACTGTAGGTTGCCCAAAAGAGAAAGAAGAAAAAAGAAGGAGAAAAGAAAAACAATACGCCGATCGCTTGTTTTGAACATTTGAGCCAAAAATATAATGTAATGCTTCGAAGTCAGGGCATGATTTGTCATTCGTCAACCACCTCAGCATATCTCCGTCACCATGATTCCACCCCAAGTGTCGGTCATACAGTATTGTCGTGATATAGAAACTCAATATCTCGGGGTCGCAGTCGATTGCCTCTGACAAACTCCTCGTCTCCCGGCGGCCGCTCGTTTTTGGAATTGCTGGTGAGCATGCTTTGGATGCTCATGCATACACTCTCTGCGCTTTGCACGGGGCTCCATCCTTGTGTATCGAGTAAATCGAGACATATGAAGCCATTCGAGTAAATATGGGGGTGGATAGGTACAGGACGTTCGGGCTTTATATCAAATGTGACTTCAGGCGGTTCTACAGCAAGGGAGGGTCAGCAACTCTACCTGGTGACGAGCGCCGCAAAGGGGGACTAGGAATGGGGAAGAAATACCAATGGGATATGACTGTGGAAAAGCAAATCTCAAGCGGTAAGTCTGATTCTGATAAAGCGGATTTGTATCAAGGACACGGATATCAAAAGTCCATTCTTTCAAGCTGTCGCCATCCACGAGTTCGATGCCGGGCGGTAGACCGGACCTTTCGATCTGCGGTGGGGTAAGAAGTCAGCTTCATGGATTCTGCAGACGGGCGCGAGTGGGCGATACATACCTTTTGACGCTCCTTGGCCACTCGCTTCTCCCTCATATGTGTCGCCATGGTTGCGATGCAGAAAAATGAGCCGGGCGGTATGCGAGTTGTGAAAGCGGAAGAAGGACGGAATATGGCTGGCAGACAAGACGCCGCATAACAGCCAGGTCGAGTCCAGCCAGGGAACTTTGGCGGTAGCGTCAAACGGGTCGTTGCAGGCACCAGCCCCAAACAGACCAGAATGCTGACATGAACAGTGCCTGCTGGTCGGCATTGACAGGACATCTGGAGGCACTGGGCTTGGCCTTGGCGGAACACCACTGGCGGATATGGACCAGTTGACCCTGGGCTGTCTGGGAAGGGGCTGTGGGCTGTGCAATGTGCACACCAGACCAGACCAGACAGCATGAAGACTAATGTCCCGTTGTATGGAGTAGGTCTGGTGCCTGTGCGTGCCCGGGAAGTTGATACTTGGTGCGCCTGCAGACTAGCTCTCTAGGCTCCGGGTGCACATGCACCAAATGACTCCAGATGTCAACTCGAACATGGAATGCTCACTGCCTGGCTCTCTGGCCAAGCTCTATGTACAAGTATGTACACCCACTGTACATGGGGTAGGGCTGACTGACATGTGGGCACTGAATCTGAACCTGGACAAACCACCAAGGAAAACCCGTCACGATGATGCAGCAACATGTAATACGGAGTAGTATTTCGCAGGGTCGCCCTCGTTTTAGCCCAGAGCAGCGTCTACGTAGTTACTATGTAAACACCTAGGAAAGGGCATGGCATCAGTTTCCTTTGTCAACAGTCGCAACTTGGCTTTTGTGACCAGTGCATGTTTCATAGGATCAATAGGTTCAGAGCAGACACTGCCCATGACAGTTCAAAGTTGAGTCTTGCGAGACTTCAATGTTCCAACATTGAACGGGCCTTGGTTGGCCCTGTCGAGGCCTCCAGTGGCTGCCAGTGGCTCGCACTCGGTTGACTCGATTGAGCCCAATATTGACCAGACGGAACCAAGCCTCCTTGCCCTGGCCGACAGGTCAACTGTTGCATGTGCTCACTGCAACTAGGCCCAACTGCCCCTCGCTCAGCCACCAAGCTCCTCCAGTCTTTTCAGTACGCCAATCCAACATTGAACCAATTGACCTTTTTGGTCGTCTCGCGTCTCACCTTCAGCCCTCAGCCACACCCTTCATCATCGAATCGAGTCCATCGCGACAGGCTGGCTCAACTCGTCTCGCACAGAAGATTCAACCTGCTTCCTCTCAGTGCTCTCTCCACCCAAACTTTTGGGATGCTCCACTGATGGCCTCAAGCCCAAGCATTGGACCATGCGGACTATTAGACCAGACCCTTGTCACCCTTTGAGCAGCCCTCTTGCGACGAGTCCTGGCCCTCCCCCGGGAACCATCATTGCTTGGGCGCCTGCACAGTGTGTTGAGTGCCGAGTGGCTGACTCTGCTGAGTGCAGTGCTGCTCAATGAGGGGCCTCCATGTCGCCTCTCGAGGTCAACTGCCTGGCTCGTATTTATTAGTTTCAGCTCAGCCGCCTCGTCAGAACCCGCCATCACCACCGACCAAAAAGTTTCAATACATAGCTCAACCTTGTTGCTGTGTCGTCCTGGGCTCGCCCGTCAGTTCTCTCGACTCTTCGCCCTCAGCCCGCGAGCTGCCGTGATTCCTTAATCCCCTTGATCCTTCCAAACTCGAACCGCATTTGCGACCAGGCTGCATTCTCGTGGGCACGCGATACCCCGCCATCCAACAAAGATGAGTTGTAAGTCGCATTCGGCCTGGGCTTGGGCCTCAGAAAATCAAGCAGCAACCGGCCACTCTGCTTCTACTGGACGCGTAAATTAGCGTCATTCGTAAATTGCGACCATATTTCTGACATTGGTACTGTTTCTCTTCAGTCGCGGGGATGCTTAACCGGCTACACGGCCAGCCCGAGAGCTACGACAAGAAGTACGTTTTGACCCCGCAGCTCATACTGTTGTTCCCCGACCGTCATCTTCAGCCTTCTTCTAACAGCGCTCGTCTCTGCTCGCCCACAGATCCAAGTATAAATTTGGTCGAACTCTAGGCGCCGGCACCTACGGGGTTGTTCGCGAAGCAGACGGCCCCTCGGGCAAGGTAGCCATCAAGATTATCTTGAAGAAGAATGTCAAGGGAAATGAGAAGATGGTATACGACGAGCTCGACATGCTCCAGAGGCTAAAACACCCGCACATCGTCAAGTTTGTTGATTGGTTCGAGTCGCGCGTAAGCTTCCAAGACGGACGAGGAAGGGTATGGGGCCAGTTTTGCTAACAGCATATGCTTGGTGTAGGACAAGTTTTACATCGTCACTCAATTAGCTACTGGCGGGGAGCTGTTCGACCGAATCTGCGACCAGGGCAAGTTCACAGAGCTCGACGCTTCCCAAACCATCAAGCAAATCATGACCGCTGTCGACTATCTGCATGATAATGACGTTGTCCATAGAGGTGCGTCATCTTGGTCGTCTGGACACGTCTAAATGTCCCCCCCCCCCCCCTTTCTTTTTTTTTTGGCTCCTTGTCCGCTCACTGAGTTCCTGGTAGATCTTAAACCGGAAAACCTTCTCTATGTTACACGCGAGCCGGATTCCGATCTTGTGCTTGCTGACTTTGGCATCGCAAAGACCTTGGACAGCAAGGAGGAGACCTTGAAGACCATGGCTGGATCTTTCGGTTACGCTGCGCCTGAGGTGATGGAGCAAAAGGGCCATGGCAAGCCTGTAGACATGTGGTCCATGGGCGTCATCACATATACCCTGCTTTGCGGGTACTCCCCATTCCGCAGTGAGAACCTTCGCGATCTACTACGCGAATGCACTGCCGCACCAGTACCGTTTCACGAGCGCTACTGGAAGGACGTCAGTCAGGATGCCAAAGATTTCATTCTGGGTCTTATTGTTCCGGAACCCGAGAAGCGATGGACTAGCAAGGTACATGCCCATGGCTCACTCCGTTCTTAATATCCCGACGCTTTGCTCACACCAAAACAGGAAGCCTTGGGCCATATCTGGTTGAGCGGCAAGAACGCCACCGATCACAACTTGCTGCCCGAGCTCGAGGCCTACCGAAGAAGAGCACGCCTTCGCCGTGTCATTGAAATTGTCAAGCTCCAGAATCGCATTGCCAAGCTCAAGGAACACGAGGAGGACCCTTCCGAGTCCGATATGGGCGATGCCCAAGGCGCATCTGATAATCACAAGGGCGACGGCTCCAGGTTGCATGCCCTGGGACTATTTGCCGTTCGTGAAGCCAAACAGAAGCAAGAAAGTCTCCAAGTGGAAGAGGAATTGGAGAAAGAGAGCAGAAGGCGCAGTTTTAGCAACGCCTAGTCTGCTGTGATACCAAAGTAGGCAACGACTTCGTGGCAGAATATCGCTTACTGACTATTTTCGCTGCCCCCCAAATTCGAAGGCTACGTGCTCTTTGATACTGACAGTTGTCGAAACATGTAGATTTTTCTCAAGTTTGACCGGTCGTCATTTCTGTACTTGCGAGGGATTGCCTTGTTCGGGATTTTTTTTTAAACGTAGCTCTTTTATTGACAGGTGGCAAATGAATGCTTGACATGTGTGTGTTGTGCTCAAGACACTCATGGATATATGTCTCCAACATAAGGGATTAGGATGGCACTCAGCCGTCACATTATCCATGTACAAAACTGCGCAAGACAGTGTAAAGATATAGAGACCATCTTTGGCAGTTTGGGGGTTATTGATGCCCTGCAGGTCAGATGTCATTGCTCCGTGGTCGAACTTCCAGGATGCTTGTTGGAGTCTGGAATAGCACGAGTGAGATGGCGAGGGTGATGTATGTGAAGCTGGAAGACGAGCATCAACCGACATCTTGACTGTCTGATGGAAAGCGGCATGGAAAAGTTGACTGGTTTGTCTCAATCTATGTATTCTTTGCTGCCCACCATCTCTCGCACACCCCCTGCATTGATCGGCTTTCGGCACGGTCCGCAGGTGGATCTTGAACATTAAACATCCAGGCATCTGGACCGACATTCTGAGCAACCGGAAGCAGTGGCAGGCGCCTGTCGAAATTATTCACTGAGTCTACTTAACGGTTGCCGCTCGAGGCATGAATATGCTCGCCCTTGCGTCGATGGCATCTCTAATAACAGCGGTGGTCGTGGCCGCGCACGAGGGCTGTGATGGCTCCCGGAGATTAATTAACACGATGCTGCTTCCACCCCTTCGCCTGTTGACAAGGTCCTTGGATATACATAGGATAGGCACCTTGCCAACGGTCCAAACTCGGCTCGTCAACTCCCATGCCCGCGTAGTAGGTCGGCCGCCAGCGTCAACTACACTTTCATTCCTTGGCCAGGGTCCTCTACCGCCGGCCACCTGAGGCGATAACAAACCTACTGCATGCTAGAACCTAGACTCCCTTATTCCTGCAGCAACCTAATACGTGCATGTGCCCTTTGTTTGATCTGCTTAGGACTTGGTGCGTCGTCGCACAAGCCTTCATAAAGATGATGGTCTTATATATGTCTCCATGCATGCTCTTCGACCAAGAGGACTTGAGTTTCAAGCTGCAATGCGAATATAGCTGTGGAATCATTTGCTTATCCAACCTCCGCTGTTCTCTGACTAATCACTCATGTACGTCGATATTGCCAAGGGAAAAAAAAGGATATATTATTTCGACAGCAGTCTGTTCCATGCAAGTCCATCGCACACGAACCAGTGCTTCATATATTCATACCCATCATTATCGTCATGCCTGGTGTACAACCGTCAAGTAGAAAACACGAAAGCAAATTAGCCTCCCGTACGCCAGGTCAATGCGCCGCCGGCCGCCACCGCTTTTTATGACAAAATAGTTCACAAAAGTACAATATATACAGAAAAATAATACAGGTCTCCTTTTCACTCCATGTTTTTTTAACCCGCCATGTCGGCGAGCGCGTTCTCTCTCAGTCTCTCGTACCGCTGAGCATCGAAACGCGCACGTTTCCAGCCACATGCTCGTAACCGCTCAATGCGGGCTTTGACATCCAGTGCTTTCAATTCGTGGTTTGTGTGAGCTGGGACGCTGGGTATGTGGCACGCGGCGATTTCGATTTCTAGCGTGGTCATGTGAGCAGTGATTTGGCGGCGGATACTGCTGAGGATAGTGCAGAACCGATGGATAGAACGGGTGTGGAAGAAGGGATCAATGTCCTCAGCTTCGCTCGGGTCTGGGCTGGCTGACTCCAGGGGGGCGGAGATGATGGTTGGCAGCAAAGGTCTGGCGTTTTTAAGGATAGATTCGGGATAGACTGGCTCCGCTGAGGATCGACCGAGCCACTCGTCGAAACCAAGAGTAGGAGAGTCTGGGCGAATGATGGGCTCCATCATGGGTTCGTCGCAAAAGGCGACGCGCTTCTTTGGTCTGGGCGGTTGGCTGGGCTTCATGACGCCTTCATCGATGGAGCTGAGAGACGGAGCTGGTGAGGACCTTCTTGTAGAGACTGTTGATCCGGATGAGTTCGAGCCAGCTGAGGAATGTAAGCTGGAGAAGCGGGAGGGAAATCGTGACGTGGGCCGACTCATGTCTTCATCAGCTTGTTTAGCGAGTTTGGACGCGGCACTGAGGTGGTCGTATGCCTGTTTAAGAAGGGCGGTGCGGAATGGTGAGGAATGGTGAATCGCGTGGGCTTGCATTTCAAGTGCCGTGGCTGCGTAGAAACGCAGATAGACGAGATGCACTGGATGAGTTGTTTCCTGGCCATGTTTTGTAAGTATACGGCGGTTTGCTTTTCATCGCGAAAAACTGCCTCGGGCAGAATTCACCATGGAAAGACGGATTGGTGAGAACGGAGGCTTACAAGCTTGTCTTTGTGATGGAGGATGTCATGACAGCGCGTAGAGCACTCTCTAAACCGGCGGTTCATATAATCCCTCCTGATCTCGCCCAGAGCCGCCTTCCACTCCATACGAGTTTGAGGGATAGGACGCATTATGTCAAGTGTCTCCTTGTCCTCTTGCTCAGATTGCGGCTGGTTTGTTGACTTTGGTTGATACAACTGTGAGCCAGCTTCAAGGCGATTCAGCATGCCTCCATTGTATCGCCTCTCTTGACACTTCGCATTGAGTGAAAGAGGAATCAGGCAAGCCATGGTTCGGTATAAGTGCTTCGGGAGCAGACAGACAAATCCTGATTTAATTTGTTCCGTCGATCGCTTCGCCACATCCACTGCAATGAGTATGTATGTTCTGTACAAGGTTTGCGGAGCTGAAAACGATCGAAGGTTATTTATTATTGGCAACCTTTGCCCTTCTTAGACATGTGGCTAATGATGGCACGGGTGTTTCAAGTTCAGGAACCGGCGATGATCGCGTGGGGAGAACAGGGTTGTACGCTGTAGCTGTCTGGAGCTAATCGATAGCGTAGCGTAGCTGCAGTGCTCTGGCGTCAACATGTATGTATGTACATATATATTGGCAACTTTTATAGTTCCTCCCGTGCAAATCTTCGAAATGGGGCCAAGGAGACGCACGAGATTAAAAGCTTGGTCCTGGCCTGTCGCGTAGAATTTTTCTTGGGCTCGATTTTCTGCCTTCTTTGTTCCCAGGCGCGTCTGTGGGTGACGAAAGTGGAGGCTGGTGGGTATGGGAAGGAGCACTGGTTATTGAGGACAGTGTTTTTTTGTTCAAGTCCTTTGTTGCTGCCCGTTTCGATAACGACAATATGTACGAAGTGGGTGTGCTTGTCGGGTTTATGTACAATGTAGTACGTGAATTCGTGCAGGATGCCAAGCCGGCCGACGGGTTGTCCACGACGCTCTGGGAAAGAGACTGTGGTCTGTACGAGGCGAAAAGAGACGGTGGCCTTGACCGGAAATGTTTGTCTGTGACATACGCATACGTACCTAGGTATGTATATAGTATGGTAGGGCGAGACAAGTAGGTGATTCTCGTAGAAAAACAAGGTGAAACTATTGACTCATCCAGACGAGGGTGGAAATTGATTCAATCAGAGACATAATTTCCAGAAAGGGGGGACTGCCGGAGAATAAATAAATTACACTGCACCGCTGTGTACTCCGGACATATATTTTCTTTTAATGTTTTGCCATGTTCCGGTCAAGGCAGTAAGTATCCCACGAGCACCCGAGTCACGACAATCCTCCCTTCCAACCAGATTTCCACGCAATGTCTCACCCGTCACCCGCAGGTGCACGAGACAAGGGCACGAAATGGGATGGATGGGATAAGGAACGTCTGAGTACAAGCGGCGAGGGTCATGGCGCATCGTGACAACGACCCGAAGGGTTACTGTACTCCGTATGATGTACCCTTCAAGTCTAGAGCAGATTATTCTAGCTACGTTGTGCGGGCGGCAAACAATGTCCTTTTTTTCAAACGCTTCCCGTGATAAAAAGCAATATCCAAAGCAAACAATTGTAATACCTGCCTAGGTACGGAGTACTAGTTGAACTGAGCAGGGCAGCAAAAGAGGAAGGGGGGGAAGAGGCGCAACACTGTCAAGCATGCTTGGTCCCGAAAAAGTCTGGTGGTTTGCTTTCCCTGGGCAAGGCTTTATCCACTTGAGGACCTGTTGGACAGGGCGAGACATGACACCATGTAACTCCACTACCGTCATATCGCAAGGGCAATGCTCAACTGCTGGGCGTACTACTCCGTAGTAGTAATCTATTCTCGCTTGAGAATTGTCACTCTTTTGAAAGGTCCTAACCCCTGCACCCGGGGCAGTTGGACCAAGGTACCGGAGCCGGCTCCATCTCACCGCAGTGCTGGTACGATAGGTACAAGAGAAGCGGCGAGAACGAGAGGCGAAGATATCGAGAAGGCTGGCACACTGGGGGCCAACAAGGGACAGCGGCACTTGTTTGTTGACAGAGAGATTGTTTACCCGGCCCCGGCAAGGCTTATGACAGCAAGGCTGTTTGAGCCTGCCCTGCTTCCATGGTCAGAGAGTCGAAGCTGTGGTGCAAGGTTGTTTGGCAGCAGCATGGGGATAGACAGACCTTGCGCAGATCCATGTCCAGCTCGCCTGTTGTCCCGGCTGTTTTCATCGTTGAACAATATGTAGATCAGGACAGAACCTCATTCCGATGTAACTAACTGCTCCGTATTTGTAGATCGATATGCCGCCACCTTGATAGTTGGGTTTTATATGCCAACCATGCGCTGCTTCAAAAGTTATATAGGACGAGTACAGGTCGTAACGGGCTGGGCGGATCAATCGATGTCCAGGACTACGGTGTACTAGCCATCTAAATGGCCAGAGCATCAGCACGGTGTCCAAATCAAAACCATAGTGGCCAGCACTTGGCATTGCATTCAACAAAAGCACGGACGACCGGAATGGC